TGAGACCAGCCCCTTGGCCTGTTCTCACAGGCCTGTGTTATATTCGGGGTAGGCCAGTCCAGGCCGGTACCTCGGTCAGTACCCGCCAGTCCAGTCCAGTCCCGTCAGTCCGCTGGGGTATACCCCAGCCATTGTCTGTTTTCAGTCTCATTCCTCACTTGCACATTTTGGAGTACGTGCGTTGGAGTCTTGCGTGGGAAGCTGCATTGTGCCATCTTGCTCCCCCTTCTTCCTCCATCTCCATCTCTGTCACTAGCGGAGCACCACACCTAGTGGGTCCGCTACACCCAATATTGGAGCCCAGCGAGAGGAGGGGAAGGTGACCAAAGAACCAGAGGAGGAGTGGGAATTCTCTTCCATAAAGATCTTGAAATCAAAATACTTGATCATATGGAGAATATCTGGGGACGGTGGGTGTGGGTGAGTTTCTCCATGGGGGATGAAGACTGGGCCATTATGTCAGCTTACTTGCCTGTATGTTATGGGGATAGAGTTAAATTTATTTATGAAATAACAAGCTTTATTCCTAACTCACCCAATCCCATTATCGCAGCGGACTGGAATACGATCCTGAATCCAGGATTAGACAGTCCGAAGGCTGAACCAATTAGGACCGACACCAGACTCTTGAAAGCTTTCATGACCAACCAGGGTTTGGTTGACATTTTCAAATTATTAAATCCAAGAAATCTTGGTTATTCTTGGTACGGTTCTCAATCTCCTCCGGTCAGGAAACGATTGGATTTTTTCCTAATCAGAGGAGTGCCTAAAGAATACTGCACCAAAGTAGAGGTTGACTCCTCTACCATTTCGGACCATTCACCGATATTGGCAACCTTTAAGATTTCACGTAAGCAAACTTTTGGCCACTGGCCAGTCCTACTTCAAACTAAATACGATACATCTGCAAGATCCGGAGGTGATCTCCATGATTCAACATCATCTCGAGGAATGGGAAAACGCAAAGTCCCTGTTTTCCTCAGAAGAGTACTGGACAGAGGTCGGCTTTAAAATCTTGCAAGTCTCCTTAAGCAATATCTCACAAATTAAGGCATTCCACAATAAACAACAGAAAAATAAACTACATCAGAAAATACGGCAAGCGGAATCCGAATTTGGCAAGCACCCAATCTCAGATGCTTATTGGACGGCTATAAGAAGAAGAGCTCTACTAAAGCTAGAGGCAAGGGAAATACAACAGCAAGAACAGTGGAAGAACTGGCTAGCCCAGAAGAACATAATAACTGGTGATAGGATGACAAAAAAAACTTTTAGGAAGCTCTTACTTCAACACAGAGAGATGCCTATGCTGGAACTGACTCACCCCTTTTCAGGGCTTTTGCAAGTTTCGGACGATCTAGAAGTAATGAGCAAGTACGCATGCCTCTATATTCAGGACATCCTAACCACCAGGAGGCCTTTTGATGATTTTTCCACTGACCTCAGACAGTCCTCCGATTTCAAGCAATTTTCCAAAGTAACTCTTCAATCTCAAGGATACCTATGTTTGGAGAGACCGATTAATATGGAAGAAATACACTGGGCGGCCAAGCAAATGGCAACTGGTAAATGCCCAGGTGTTGATGGTATGCCAATTAAGCTTTACCTAGCAGTCTGGGGATTTATCAGCCCAATCTTACTCAAAATTTACAACAGAGTTCTGACAGGGGGATCCTTAACTAAGAGTATAATAAAAGGCATAATAATGCTGATCTATAAAAAAGGTGAGAAATCAGATGTTCGTAATTGGCGGTCTATCTCGGTACTTAATACCTCTTATAAACTACTTGCAAAGGTGTTAGCCATACGGTTAGCCAGATATCTCCCACGCCTGGTTGGAAAAGATCAAGGGGCTTTTGTCAAACACCGTTCAATTATGGATAACATTGTCTGTACGATACAAGCATTAGAGATACAAGCAGTAGAGATTATTGCGAAAGAAAACCGTCATGTAGCCTTGTTGTTATTAGACATGGAAAAGGCTTATGATCGGGTTGAATGGGCCTTCGTCTCAACGACTTTAAAACACATGGGGCTCAGACCGAACTTTATCCAATGGGTTACGGTGATGTACTCAACGGCCACGGCGGTGGTAATGGTCAACGGGAAAATTTCCCGAACCGTTTCTCTTTCACGATCTCTCAGACAGGGTTGCCCTTTGTCCCCCCTGTTGTTCGTCCTACACTTAGAAATCCTGTTAGATAACCTAAGGCATTGTGACTCAATTGTAGGACTGACACTTAAACCTTTAAGCCAATGGAAAGGTGGGGCCTTAGCGGACGACCTTACGCTTACATGCTCAAACTTTCGACCTAACCTCTTGGAAGTCAGAAAAGTTATAAACTCTTACTGTGAATTGTTTGAGGCTTCTATCAATTGGATTAAATCTGGATATTTTTTGCCTTAATCATATGACTTACAATTTAATTGGGGCTTGAGGAAAGTGCCTGCTGATTGTTCGGATCGTTTCCTGGCGGTGCAAGTCTCCCTCACGGATAACTCCCTGTTTCAAGATTCGCAATTGGAAGAAAAAGTTATTGGCAGATTAATGTCGTGAAACAGTCTTCGTCATCTTTCACTATTTGGAAGAGCCTTGGTAATTACGACATCAGCATTCGCGGTTTTGTGGTATACTCTGGTTGTTCACATATTGGGCGATGCAGCATATGGAAGAATTAAAAGAGCAGCAGCTAGGGTTCTATGAAAACCGGAAGGAGACTCTCAAAGCGGCTTTATTTCAAAAATTGCGTGGGAAACCGTTACCTTTCCAAGAACTGAGGGGGGGTTAGGTATACTCGACCCTCAACAACAGAATATTGCATTATTAGCAAAATGGCCGATCAGAGCACTGATGGCGGAACGAGATACCCCATGGCTTAGACTTGCCGCTTATATTTTGAGGGAGGAATGGTCTTTAACCCGAGATGAGGATGTGTTGTCGTGTTTACTAATTAAGTCGTATGTTAACAAGCAGCCCAAATCGAGATTTTGGAAAAGCATTTTGGGAACTTGGAGAAAGGTATTCCCTACAGAGAGAGACAGTCATGTAACAAAGGATGAAGTTTTGGCTCAAATCATCTTTGAAAACCCCTTGTTGGTAGATGAGTCAGACACTGTTCTCCAAGCACAGGATTCGCGGGGCAGTTTCGGTAAATCTTGGATAGAAAGAGGAGTAGTAAGGATTCAAGACTTATGGAATGAGGAGAGAAGAGACTGACACACAGAAGATGAGCTGAGACTGAAGCTACTTAGGTGAAGACAAGTGAGCATTAGATTGCCTGCTGTGATCCAGGCCATTCCTTACTCATGGAAAGCACTTCTGCGTGATCCTGGTAAATCGCTGATGGGTCGTAGGTTTAAGACTCCATCAGTAGTACTGCAAATCACTGATGACTTGGGGGACGAAGGATCAATTGCTAAAGAATGGAAAACTCTTGAGTCTGTAGAATTATCGAAGGAGCTGATACCTCTCAATAACGAAATTAGAATTCCTGATCTTATTGATTTGGGAGCTATGAAGGAAGTGGCAGTTGATTTGACTCTTCGGAAGGGTTCAGGAGCCAGAGGAGCTCAGTGGAGTGTTTCCATTCCACTGGACCTCCAAGAACTGACTCAAAAGGTAGTCGACCCGATAAGGTGGTATGTCCACACTCAAAGGAAAAGGATAACTCTAAATCAATATAGACCCAAGACAGGGGTGAGGATACTCAGAGCAACAGTCAAGAAATCTCCAACAGCCTCCATTGCAAAAAGGCGAGAGGACGCTGATCTACTACAACTCTCCGAAGACCAACTATGTATGGCAGCAATACAAAATTATACCTTCCCAAAAGCTGGCTAGTATTGTATGGCTACAGACCTTTTTAGCTGCGGCTACAGCAACCAATCTGGCTTCCAAGGGTATGCAGATTTCTACTGTCTGTTCAAGATGCAGACGGCCCTGGGAGAATAACAGACACCTGTGGCCAACTTGCCCAGCTTCCAGACGACTTTGGGATTGGTGGATCAAACATTGGAACAAATTTTCAAAAGGGACCTTTCAATGGTCTGACGAATGGATTCTCTCAGGGACTCACAGAACTGGGATTAAGGAGGAAAGAACCTGGTTATATGTGGCTCAGACTTGCAGGGCGATGTTAATGAAAATAATTTGGGATACTCGAAACAATCAATTGTTTAGAGCTTCTGGTATCTATGATTTTCAACTTAAAAACACAGTGGCAAACCAACTGAGACTGATTATCAGTAGTGACTGTGCCAGGAAAAAGCTGTTAGGGAATCAGAGAGCGAGGAAATGGTTCTGGGATACGTAGGGACAGGACTCATCCCTAGTTAAACTGAACTTTGTTGGTAGGTTATATTTTTGTCAATGGTTGTTGTCACCACTTGGTCATGGGGTGTGCTTTAGCTCCCCCCCATAGAGTCCCTTTTAACTACTGGAGAGGTGGATGGTCGGAAGGATGAGGGGTTCTATGGTCCTTTTCCTCTTTGGAGTTTTGCCTTTTTTTCTATTTTGGAGAACTTTCTTGAGAAGGGACACTGGACCCGGTTTCCAGGAGCCTAATCTGGGTAATGGCCCCATAACATAACGGGATCTTGTGGGGTTTCCCAGACCCGTTGCTGTTCGGTTGTCCCCTTTGAAATGAAAAGTTCTATTGTTCTCCAAAAAAA